ACATATGTTCAGACTGCCCTTTCAAAATTGAAAACAGTTTGTTTCTTTATTTTATTTAAACTTTAAAAAATTACAAAATAGTACTTTTGCACTACTAAAATTCAGACAAAAAATATAGGCTGCAAAAAGAGAAACTACCTTCTATCCCAGCTTCCAAAAAGAAGGACTCATTTAAATCAGCAAGCGTTTAAAATATAGTTACAACTAATATTAGAAAGGATTTAGTATAAAGACGCCTGGGTGGTTCAGTGGATTGAGCCTCTGCCTTCGGCTCAGGTCATGATCTCGGGGTCCTGGGATCGAGTCCCACATTGGGCTTTCTGCTTGGCGGGGAGACTGCTTCCTCCTCTCTCTCTCTCTGCCTGCCTTTCTGCCTGCTTGTGATCTCTGTCAAATAAATAAATAAAATCTTAAAAAAAAAAAAAGAAAGGATTTAGTATTGTGCATATTTTTTCAGACTCTTTAATGCTTTTTAATTTTAATTTTTATGCTTCTTAAATTATATGTGATGCTTATACATATAAATTTTAATTAAAAATTTATTTTTATTTACTTTTAAGATTGTATTTATTTGACAGAGAGAGACACAGCCAGAGAGGGAACACAAGCAGGGGGAGTGGGAGAGGGAGAAGCAGGCTTCCCATCAAGCAGGGAGGCCAATGCGGGGCTCCATACCAGGACCCTGGGATCATGACCTGAGCCAAAGGCAGATGCTTAATGACTAAACCACACAGGTGCCCCTAAAATCTCTACCCCCAACGTGGGGCTCAAACTCACAACCCTGAGATCAAGAGTCATAGGATCTACAAACCAAGCCAGCCAGGCACCCTATACATAGCAATTTTAAAAGCCATACTATACAAACAGTTGTGTAATTTGCTTTTTTAATGTAATATATCATGCATATATTTCCAGGTCAGCATACGTAGATCCACCTTATCCCTTTGAATATGTAAAATACTATCTCATTAAATTGATGAACCTAAAGTAGCAAACCAAACTTAAGTTGCTAAACATTTATATTCTTTCCAACTTTTTATTATTAGAAAAATACTGCATTAAATGCTCTTGTACATATATCTTTGTTTGTGAGTTTCTATAGAATGAATACCTAAAATTTGAATTTTTAGGTCAAATTGTATATAATTAAATATATTACTTGTTACAGTTTTAATGAATACTGACAAATTGCCAGCCTCCCAAAAGCTGTATTTCTACCAATAGTGGATGCAACTGCCTTTTCTCCATATCATTTCTAATATTAGTTGTAAGTAGATTTTAAATGCTTGCTAGTTTAGTCAGCAAAACCACCTCATTGAGGGGCGCCTGGGAGCCTCAGTCAGTTAAGCATCTGCCTTTAGCTCAGGTCATGATCCCTGGGTTCTGGGATTCAGGCCCACGTGGGCTCCTTGCTCAGTGGGGAGCCTGCTTCTCCCTCTCCCTCTGTCCCTCAACACACTTGTTCTCTCTCTCTCAAAAAGTAAATAAAATATTTTCAGGGGCGCCTGGGTGGCTCAGTGGGTTAAAGCCTCTGCCTTCGGCTCAGGTCATGATCCCAGCGTGCTGGGGATCGAGCCCCACATCGGGCTCTCTGCTCCGCAGGGAGCCTGCTTCC